CACACCTTGGCCATGCTAAAAGACCCCTGTGGCTTTTGTCTCCCTGGCATCTCCAATTCAGTGGGGGAGCTCCCAGTCTAGAAAAGGGGTCTCTCCTGCCCCCCCCAGTGCAGACCCGACCTTGGGAGAGCCATGCTGCCCACTCAGAGGAGTCATTTTCGGGATGCTGGAAGCGGTCAGCCCAACAAAAGGCTGCTTGTCCATGTTCTGGCAGAAGCACCGCTGGGCTACACTAAGAGTCCATGTACAGCCCCCCCCCCGCCCCATTCCCACAGGGAAGCCATTTCAAACCACTCAGGCCATTCTCCCCATCCCACCAAGATAAACTGCCTCAAGGGCCATCTCAGAGGAGAAAGACCAGGAGAAACCTTTCCTTTGAACCCATAAACCCGGAGTCATAAGCCCCCCCCCGCCCCATTCCCACAGGGAAGCCATTTCAACCCACTCAGGCCATTCTCCCCATCTCAGAGGAGAAAGACCAGGAGAAACCTTTCCTTTGAACCCATAAACCCAGAGTGGGGGGGCATGGACTCACCTGGTAGAGCTGCCCCATGGTGGCACTGGTTGGGGGAATCACGTTGTTGACAAAGAAGAAGAGCGCGTCCTCTGCCCGAAGATGGATCCTTTTCCGGATCAGGAAGTAGAACTGGCCAACTGGGGGGAAAAGGAAAGGCGGGAGCCAGCCTGTCAGTCAAAGTCACGCAATGATGCCAAAGAAGCCGCCTGGGCCCTTTTTTTAAAGAGAAAGGCTGGGTGAAATGGTTTTATCCCACCGTTCTCCTTAAAACCTGACTGGGTTTAATATGCAGAAACATATGCAGTAGACGAGAGCCATCCGGAAACTGCACTCACGCCTGGAAGTTCACAGCCCAATAGGAACCGAGGTCATCCAAACACATACTGCAGAGATTTGTGGGTGGCTGAGCCGCTCTTTCACACGTACACCCTCTGGCCTCAGAACTTGGAAATTTACTTTGTAAAAGTCATTTTCTCCCACTCCACGTTACCACGTTTGGAAAAAAAAAAGGAATCGCTTTTATTGCTCACTGCAGTTCTGGTAAGGTAACTCATTATATTGTTGAGCTGCTTGCAAATTTTTCCATTTCTTTTAAAGAAATAAGGAAAGTTGAGACTGTTAAGGAAATAGCACAAAGCCTCCAATTTTTTTCTTAAAATACATTAAAACACACGGTAAAGGAAACTTTTAAAATTAACTAGAAAATCATTGAGTCGTGTCCAACTCTTCGTGACCCCGTGGACCAGAGCACGCCAGGCCCTCCTGTCTTCCACGGCCTCCCGGAGTTGGGTCAGACTCATGTTGGTCGCTTCGATGACCCTGTCCAACCATCTCATCCTCTGTCGTCCCCTTCGCCTCCTGCCTTCACATCAGGGTCTTTTCCAGGGAGTCTTCTCTATGATCTTACTCACAACTTTTTTTTTCAACATAGCCCAATAAAACGACTAAGTATTGTTAACTTCATTTCTTCCGGCTCGTTCTTTCCAAGCTCTGCTTTGCACCATCTTATCAAGGAATGAAGGAGGAGACCGTCTACTTCAGCCAGCTGCCCTGTCTTGGGGCTCAGTCCCATTCCCCCCCAACACATATGTCTGCTTCCTGCCCCCATCAGGCACATACCTGTGAGATCAGACGGGACGAGGTATTTCTTTTTGTCCAGGTCTCCTATCCGAGCCTTGGGTGCTTTTTCCACAATGACCTGTGGGGGATAGCAAAGAGATGGAGGTTGCATCAGGGAAGGGCACAGAGTTTTGCTCCACTTGAGCAAAACACTTCCTAATTATAGGAACGCTTAAGCAAGAGCACAAACTGTCCAAGGAAGCCGCTGGGATCGCCTTTCCAAGGAAGGGACGGTTTTTATGACAAAGCTTTCTCCCGCCCTAGTGGAAATGGGATGCCCTGCTGCTGTGGGGAAAACGGCTTTTTGACATTAGAGGGCCTTGTGTATTGCTGGGCAACATGTGTTTCTAACCTAGGGTTTAGCGTTGGCACGCACACGCAGGCACAGACACATTTCCAGGAGGGTAGAAATGTTAACCTATTGCAGCCAAAACACTCAAGCACTGGCGGTACCTTAAAGACAAGCAGGTTTTGTGTGGCAGACTTTGGTGTCCGTTGCTTCTGCCACGTCAGTTTTGCTAGTCATTAAGGTACCCCCAGACTTTTGGTGGCTTATACAAAACAGGCTTAACTCTTGGCCAAAGGAAGGGTCTTTCTTCTTAACTGGGGGGGTGGGTGGGAATACTCCATTCCTATCATCCTCCAAGGAGCACTACTGAAATCATCTTGAGCAGCAGCCTCTCCGAAGGTTTTGCCGGGTTGTGTGAAAAGGGCGCAACAAGAGCAAACAGCCTGGCGGAAGGGAGGCCGGGTGAGTCCCGTGGGGGTTGAGCCCCCTTCACAACCAAGCACAGCAGATAAAGAAGGCAACCCTAAACAGTGTACTGTAGATGGACTGGTGGATGCCAGGGACTACCACAAGACCCATCATCCCACATGCATCTCCCCCCCCCCGTCAACCTGCTAAGAAGTATCTGGTCCTATGCCAAAGACAGGCGCTTTAGCTTTAAGGAGGAACGGGACAAGCAGGTGCAGGGTTCCCCACTGGTGCTTGAACACACGGGGCGAGGGGGGGTGGGACACCGTTTGCTGAAGCCTCTTAAACGGCATGGGTTTTTCATCCAGGAGGAGACGGAAACCTCGATTCCAAGACTGAGCAATCATCCCCCAGACAAGCCTTTTCTCAGTCTAGGAGACCTCTCTGTGCAACGCGGCCGAGGAAGCCTGGCACAGAGGCCAGAGGTGCCAGAGCCAGAACGGGAAGCCAAAATTTGCCCCAACCTCTTCCCAAACATGTCTGTTCTTCTTTTTTTTAACACAGCTCAGTTTAGCGTTCAGTCAGTGGCGAGTTCCAGCTTTCCACTACTCCAGTATTAAAAACAGGAAAGGAAGCCGTATCGGAGAGAAGCCCTTGTAATGAAATAAAAGCGCAATGACTTGCCGCATTCAAGATGTCGCAACCGGGCAATGCTCCCTCTCAGCCGCTCCCCTGCAACAAGGAAATGACACAGAGCCACCTGACGGGGCTCCGTGTTTCTTTATATTTATTTTGGCGTCTGGAGACACAAGTTGCAACCCACAAACATTCTCTGAGAATGGCAGAGCTGAAAGGGGCCCTCTGGGTCATCCAGTCCAGCCCTAGTCAAGGAGCCCCGGGGAGGGGAATCAAACTCCCAAACTTCTGGCTCCACAGCTGGAGACCTCAACCGCTGAGCCATGGGTCTGGCAGTCCTTCAGACGCCACAAGGCCTTTGTTTATTATTTTTGTTACCCGAGTTGAAAACAGACTAACACAGAGCCGGCTCCCTCTCTGAAGTGTTTCTGCGATAGCCTAAGAAGAGGCAAAGAGTGGCTCACAAAAAGCGGCCTGAATGCTCAAAAGTAGAATACATGTTATTTCATGCCACCTTCTCACGGATGACATGTGCAAAGATAGGAAAGACAGGGAGAGGAAGGATCAATCGCAGCTACCAAGAGGAAGAATCAAAGCAGAGCAGGAGCAGAGAGAG